TGTGTGTGTGTGTGTGTGTGTGTGTGTGTGTGTGTGTGTGTGTGTGTGTGTGTGTGTGTGTGTGTGTGTGTGTTTACCATCTGAGCTCTCAGGAGCACCTGGTCCTGCCCGGTCCCTTTGAGACTCTTTCCCAGGAGCCTGACAGGTGAGGGGCTCTGATTGGCTGGTGCAGAGCCAGGTGTTCCCACAGGTTGGGCTGCTGATCCCTGGAACAAAGACGGGAGGGAAAATGGAGATAAAAAAGGAGTGAGTTCTAGTAAACAATGCAAACTGAGTGAGCTTTGGTGACGTTTGGTTTGATTTATTGATTAGGATCTAGTAACATAATTATGTATCTGATCAGTGCTTTTCATTCACTGATTCAGGTCTCCTGGTTAGTACAACTTTGTYTATAAATATAAGTAAATTATGCTGCACCCTAAGCTTCAGTAAAATACAGTGCATATTTATAATTCTTGCATGAAATGGACATMTTAACAYTAAGTGAGCAGCCTTATTTTAAACTACCTGCAACCTTAACAAACCTGATTTGTTGGCAGCTGATCGTATAACTGAGCAGTGGTTTATGTGAGACAGGACTAAAGATTGAACAACCTCTTTCAGAACTGATGGAATAACAAAAGGTGAACATCTTCTGACAACAGCTATCCCTTTACAGTTTACTAATTATATTGTCAATATAATGAGACCATGACAAGTGACCGACCAAGTAATTTAATTTGTGTAACTTGCTCCAAGACGGAGCTCTTCATAGTAAGGTTTAACTGTGGATAACTATCACTGTTTACAACCAATAACACTGATCTAGTTTTAACATTCTGGATCATATTATTATCATTAACCCATTTCAGAARTAAATCCATCTCATTCCCCAATACTTTTGACATTTCATTGATATTCAAATCAGAATAGAACATTGTTGAATCATCAGCGTGCATGACAACTGAAGATTGATTTAATACACAASGTAAATCATTAGTATAGATCAGGGGTTCTTAACCTTTTTGACCTCAGGGCCCAATTTGTTGAACATAAAGTGACACGAGGCCCAGTCAGACATTACTAATGGATCAAAATGATAATTATTATAATCTTGGTTTAACTTTTATTGTATTTACATTATAACTAAATTAAATAACTAACATAACTAAATTAAATACACTTACAATTTAAAAGTAAAACTCCTGTCACATGATTATGACAAACATGTTTTTATATTGTAACCTGCCCGTAACAATTATTTGAACAAATACAAAGGTCAGTCAACAGACCACTCAGGCTTATCAGCACAAAAATATATATTTTTTTAACATAAACAATAACAAAAATAGACAATTCAATAAATAAAATTGTGGTCATAAAATAAATACATTCAAAATGTTTAATATAAATGTTTCAAATAAAAAAACTGTTAAAATAAGTTATATAAAGTGCAAATAAAAATAAAGCCTTTTAAAACTTTTGCATGGTAGAACCAGAAGCTGCTCTTCATATTAGTGACAAACTTTGGCATTTTTTGATATTTTCCCTTCATTTTTGCTTCTACTTTACATTTAAAATAAGTTTCCACTCTCAGCTGGTAGATAACGTTCTTCTTCTACATCTTAAAAAGGTTGTTAAAAATCTGAGTGGCGCACTGCCGCTACTAGTGGTGGGAAAGTGTATTGCACCTTATTTAAAATCAATGCAGTCACGCAGCCCAAARTTAAAAAYTGTTGTACTTTTGAGGACCTCAAGGTGGTGCTGTGGGCCGCGGCCTATGGGTTAAGAATCTCTGGTATAGACTAAAAAAGAAGAGGTCCAAGAGAGCTACCCTGAGGCACACCACAGTGGATCTCACAACTATTGGACAAAAAGCCATTATAAAAAACTTGTTCACTTCTGTCAGTGAGATAATCTTTGATCCAAAACAAGGACTTAGTTGATAGTCCGTAACATTTTAACTTTCACTAACTTTAACTAACCATGATTTATCAGATCAAATGCTGCACTAAAGTCCAGAAACATGACACCAACTAGATCAGCTTTAYCCATTTCTTGATACTGAAATAAAAGAAAGGTATCAGGACGTGTCCAAAGCAGCAGAAAGAAAATGTCTCGACTGTTAAAACTTGACTTGGTGTGAAACTTGTCAGATCAAAGAGAGGAAACTGTAACCTCAGACTGACAGAAACCCAGACACCTCAAACTGTGGACAAGTCAAAGCAACGACACCTTTTTAGAACAGTCTTTAGTTGTTAGCGCTCTCTGTCCACAGGTCCTCCAACGTTTAGCTTTTCTTCAACACGATGAGTTCAAAGTGTAGCATAGGGTTGGGCAATATTGGCAAAAAAATAAATCACGATTAATTATGGTATTTAGTCGATAACAATTAATTTGATGATTAATCCCCTGGAGTCCCTGGACACCCTTATWTCAKAGTCACATGACCAATTTAGTGGGAAAGATTTGCTCTTTATAAAAATCTGTTCCAAATTGTGTCAAAATTACAGACTTCAGGCTATTTATCAAATTTTAAATTGTGTTGATAGATAAATAAGTTACAGAACTTTTTTTAATGTTGGTCATATTTGAAGCTGAGAGGAGCAGTGAGTGGATTCTACCTGTTAGCATTAATCGTATTAATCGTCAACTGCCAAAAATTAATCGATTAATGTTTTTCTGACGATTAAACACACACGATACGATTAAGCCCAACCCTAGTGTTGCATCAGCAGTGATGAGCAGCTGCTGTGAGTTGACCCGCACCGTCAGAGCTGAGGCAGCTGCCAACAGTCTCAGAGGGCAGAGCTAAGCTAATGCTAAGCTATTGCTAACCTAATGCTAAGCTAATATTAAAAACCGACTGATTTTGCCGCCTGATGTTTTTGTTATTTTTTCTATTTCAGTTTTAGCGACATCACTGAACAGGAGCTGAACACTGAGGCATGGCGGGGGCAGCATAATGGTTTGGGGATGATGTCGTTCCCCTGGTTGTTGTTCACAGTAAAATGTCAAACACAGACTGGTGTTTATGTAACTCACCTGTCTGCCAGGTGGGCTGGCCGGCGTGTGGAACGGCGTGATGGCGGTGGGGGTGGAGCCTGGCCGAGCGTTCCCGTTGGTGAGGCTGGTGGAGGTCTTGGTAGAGGCGGTGGCGTTGGAGGAGGGCGGAGCCGCGGTGGCTGTGACGGCAGAGGAGGCGGTCTGCGTGGGCGGGGCTTTGGGTGTGCCCGTCGGGGAGGGGAGGATGGGGCGGGAGTAGGTCCGCAGAGTGGGCGGGGGCTTGGGAGGAGCCGGGACCAGGATGTGAGGGGACAGAGCCCCGCCCACCGTCTTGGGTCCATGGTTGGCGGAGACGGAGGGAGCGGGGGTGAGGGGG